TACCTAACCACCTCTTTACCTATGGATCCCGTCTGCAGCCTAGCCTGAAGCAACAAATCATTTGAGATATTTTGCCATTAATTATAGGAATTAATATTTATTTTATTTTTATTTTAAATTAATATATTTTTATATTATTTTGATATGTTTGTGTTACAAATAATTTTTAAAAAATAAAAAATATTTTAAAAAATAACAATTGCCCCACTCTCAAGTATTTTATTTTGATATTCATCAAAGAGAATCAATGAATAGCAAGTCATAATTTTTTTTTTTTTGCTATAAACTATATTTTTTGAATTGATTTAAAAAGATATTTTTAGATGATTTTAATATGTTAATATAAAAATAAAATTATTTTAAAAAATTATTTTAAAAAACATATTATACCATGATATATATATATATATATATATATATATATATATATATAAAACAAATTATTGTACGAGCATGTAGGGACATGAACTTTATGTCTCTTTGGCCATGTAGATGAATTTAAGCGCCTTAAAAAACAGGTCGAAAAACAACGGAATTAAATTTGAAACCATAATGTACAGTAGTTGGTGAACTACCAAGCATATTTAACGTAAGCGATAAGCACAATGTCAGAGCATATTTTACGTTTGTTTCAGCATTTTTAAAGTATTTTTTAAAACACTTGATAATTTTTTATTTATTTTAAATTAATATATTTTTAATATTTTTAAATTATTTTTATATATTAATGTCAAAAATAATTTTTAAAAAATAAAAAAAATTATTAACATACATTTAACATAAAAAATTATTTTAAAAGCAATCAAAACTATATTCTCACCTAATATTTTATCAAACTTGTTTGCAATTCACATTTTTTTTTAATTGGAAAATTCCACTTCACTAAAAGTATATTTTATAAATTCAGATGGTGAATAAAACTTTGGTTATTTCAAGTTCTTATAAGAGATACAGATCTTAATTTAAACTCAAAACTTGTTATCCAGATCTTAACCTTTTTATCATTATACTATTTTTTTTGGATGATTGAAGCTCATATGAATATTGAATTTTCAAATTATTTTGATGTAATGATGTAAAATAATATTTTTAAAAAATAAAAAAATATTATTTAGTATTTTCAAATTATTTTAATATATTAATGTTAAAAATAATTTTTTTAAAATAAAAAAAATATTATTATCATACATTTTAACATATAATATTATTTTAAAAACAACTATACTCCCACCTATCATCTTATCATCGTTGATTGAAGCTCATACGAACATTGGACATTAGAATTTTCAAACCCTAAAAGCACATTTAACCTTAAACTTCTAAACTATATGCGTTTTTTTCCTGGCCCTTCCCCCCCTTGAAAAGGAAAGGGAACTAAAAAAAAATTAATGTCCATAGGGTTTTGGGTCCACTGTTTCCATATTTATGCGATGCAATCAATTCCACCGCCACTTCTTGTTATTAATTCTGTATGACAGCTGGAATTTACTCAATCCTTTTCCTTTTTGAAAAAAAAATTGAGAAAAAAAAATGTTAACCACTCTATTTCACTAAAGAAAAATATCATCTCTTAAAAAGTTGATACTAATTGAATAACAAGATATTTATTTTAGTATTTTAAAAATATTTTTTTATATTTTTAAATTATTTTAATGTATTAATATTAAACATAAATTTTAAAAAATAAAAAAATTATTTCAATATATTTTTAAACAAAAAGGAGACTATAAAGTTGAGCTGGAACAACTTTAAATTGCAGACAGGGATTTAATAAGCCGTTAGAGTAGTTAGAGAGGGTAGAATGAAAGCCCTTAGGGGTCAAAACGAAGATTTATTATTGAACAGAATATAAAATGCAAGAACGAGAGGAGAAGGATTCGAGGACTATACAATATTTATCAGCACCAGAAAAAACGGAGGCTGCAATTATTGCCGTAAAACCTGGTCGTCGCCGTCTATATTCAAGGAATGAAAACACTCGCAATTCCTAACCCAAAAATAATAAGAAAATACTATGCATAATAATGTTGAGACAGCTGCAGACTGCAAGATAATTTAGTTGGTGAAGTCATTCTGGATTAATAAGTAATGATTTACACATTAATTGAATTGAAAAAAAAGGTAGAGAAAGACTGTGTTCTATTTTGGAATTTTTAATAACTTTTATTTTTCTGACAGAAAATAACTAATAAAATATATCCTATTAAATATTATCAATAAAATATTTTTTATTAATAATTTCATTGTTATTTATGATTTTTCTAGCAGTGTCAATAATTAATTTTTAATATTTATAAAATATAGTTATAATATAAGTAGTTGTCCGTTGCTAATAAATTACAGTTCAATTGATAGTAATGTTTTTCTCTTAGAAAAAAAATCTTTAATTTGAATATATTTTGTTAAAAAAATTATACATTAAATATACAGTAACACTCGTCTAAGATATTTTGTATAAAGTGAACGTCATAGAAAATTACAAAGCCATTGAAAAAATCATTTGGGTTAAGGTTGTTAAAATTGTGTTTTCACTCATAAATTTATATAATTTTACAAGTCAAAACATATTTTATATGCTAAATCATTTGAAAAAATAAAAAATAAATAAAATCATTGAAATAGGGTTCAATCACAAAAAAGCATGAGTTCAAAAACGATTGAATGATTTCACTAAAACGTATAAATAAATGTTTCACTTCATGCTTCAATTGTCGAATGCTTATTGATTGGGTAAATGCATAGTCACTCCAAAGTCTCTTATCTTCACTCTACTTATCACCGGATCATCTTTCTTCCTTTTCAATGAGAACAAATACATAATCTCCTTCTTTATTAACCAATCGGTAACCATAAAAACAACAATAATTAGTCTAGTCTTCACTCCAGTAACCTAGTCTTTACTCCAGTAATTAGTGCTTAAGATTTTCTTTCAATCAATAGCTTTGAGAATCTCTTTTCTTTTCCATCATCAAGAGCAGCAACGATCTCTTTTCTTTCTCATCATTAACAGTTCATGATTTTTTCTTCATCAACAACAGCAGACGACATTGCTCTTCTCTTTAACCTTCATCATCAATAGTTTTCTTTCACTGTAAGTTGTTCCCATGTATCTTCAGCCTTCACGTGATTGCCCATCGTGTAATAATATTTTTCTATAGGCTTGTACAGAGTCAAAATATAAAAATGTAATATTCTTGTATATAGATGTTGAATGTTAATTTTATCGGTCTTGATAATGATTTTGAATAATAATTTAATTTTTTATAATAATTTACTTGATGGAATGATTTGCAATAACAATTTGCTGGTCCTGATTGCTTTGTGTCCATGGTGTTATTAAAATCATCATACTAAAATCAACAGTTTTGATTTGGGTATTATGAAAAAAATAAACAATGAAAAAACAATTGCTAGCCGTTACTTACCTATTATATATGCTATTATATATGGACGTGTATATCACCAAATTTAGGAGACGAAGTTATAAAAAGAAGGATGTTAATCATTACGTTATTTTCATTAATAATTTTGAACCAATTAATTGAGTTGTTCGAAAGAAACTGTTGATTTTGAGTTGAGTTCGAAGTATTCATTCACAGTTTGAAGCTGTAGATTTTGAACAATTAGTCTAATTATATACAAAAAGCCACTAATTACATCTCAATATTAAATTCATTTGTGAAGCTATCATTCTGGATTGAAAATATATTTTATATTTATTCTTTCACTAAACAGCATCTTGGATTTGTTTTTATAAACTTAGTTTTATATACACGAGTATAGATTTGTCAAGAAACAGAGAGTGCATATCAGCATGGAGTAATTAGTATCTAATTTACGTTGCTACCTTTCACTTTATATTACTAGAAAATTAAAAATTAAAAATAAAAATATTGATAGAATTTATCTGTAAATATATTATAATAAACTTTATTCATTGTAAATTTATTATTAATTTTATTACTGATGAATATAAATTATTGATAATAAATTTTGTAATGAGTAGTAATCATATGTAAACCCATTAATAAAAGTTGTATTGGTAGATATATTTTCAAACTACCAATGAAATATTCCCTTAATAAATTAAAAAATCATAATAGTGTTAACTTTTGTTTATCTTTCTTATGATTTGTTGATTTTCTGTTCTCTAGATGGCCAGCTTAATAAACTTCATCAACTTTCATTAAAAAAAATCTATATAAGAGCAAATCATTTAGACTATTGTTTCCATAAAAAAATATTTATTGCAATTCTGGAAATTTGTTTTATATATATATATACACACACACTTTATGCTTCTGAGAAATCAAATCGATGTTACTGCTAATATTTCTCTAGATAAAAAAATATTTCTTGCAATTTTGGAAATTATTACTATAAAATCACCATATATTTCTCTTCTATTTTTATCACCGTCGTTACAATACTAACTTCTATTATTTCACTTTAACCACTATTGATATTATTTTTTAATCTCCATGCATTTTCATCTTAAAATTAATTAATGAAGTCCTAAAATTATTAAATTTTCAGAATTCCGACCAGTGAATTCCTCCCGGCAAGCTAGTACTTATTTGTGGTCACCAAATTTGGTTTGCAAATTCCTTGGAGTGCAGAATCAACTCTTTTATTTATTACAAAGAACAGTTTACATAATTGGAAAGTTTGTATTTAATTTTCAGGTATACAAGCTCTGATCACCGCTGCCTTAAGTGCCTCTGGTACGAGCTATAGTAATTTTGCACGGTCTCGTCAAGGAGATCATCTGTGTTATTTCTCGATTGTATTTAGTTTTTTTTTTTTTAATTTTTGATTACGGGACACTGAAAATATCTGCTAAAAGATGGAATTCGGCTTTTGAACTGCGTTGGAGGTAAAGTGCGATCTTGTGGCCTTGCAACACAACTACCAGTACTGGATTGCTTTACTTCCAGTGGGCCTATTTTTATTCCACTGACAGTAACCCTTAGCTATTTAAGTCCTTCAATATTCTTCGATCCATGCATCAAGAAATTGTTCTCCCACATTAGCTATCTACCTAGCTGCTTCTAAGATTTTCTTCCAAACCATCGCCATGGCTGGCTCAGCAAATATGACCATTTCCACAGTACTGATAGGTCTAGTGGTGGCAATGGCAACTACTTTTGTTCCACAAGCAGAAGCCAGGGCTTTCTTTGTGTTCGGAGATTCACTGGTTGATAATGGCAATAACAATTACTTGGTCACCTCCGCACGAGCAGACTCACCACCTTACGGCATCGATTATCCAACTCGTCGACCAACCGGCCGCTTCTCCAATGGCTTAAACATTCCTGATTTTATCAGTTAGGTTTATTTGTCCTATTTTTGCACACAAGTACCTTTCAATGTCGCGCACATAGTTAGGTGACATGTTTTTGGTTAAGACTAACATTTTACATGTGCTATACAGGTCAACAACTTGGTTCGGAACCCACACTGCCTTACCTAAGTCCCCAGCTAACTGGTCAGAGGCTACTGGTTGGTGCCAATTTTGCTTCAGCTGGAATTGGGATCCTCAATGACACTGGAATTCAGTTTGTAAGTGTGATTCTTTTACCATTTCATTCACCTATCCTATCACAATTTAAAATATCGAATTTATTATACCGAATAGTTACTTTATCTTATAGATAATAATTGAAATATAAATATTATGAAATCTAATACGAAACCCAATAAAAAAAATGAATCTAGAAAACAAAAATGCATGTATCCTAATATTGAAATATTAATCATCCCCATTTGTCTCATATACCATCTTTAACGGGCAGTAATGGATCCTAATAAAAAAAGAAACTACAAATTCCGATATAAGCTGATAATGGTTTGACTTGAAGTGATGCATTTTTCAGCTGAACATAATTAGAATGTACAGACAATTGGACTACTTTGAGCAATACCAGAGGCGTGTTGCAGCTCTCCTCGGAGCTCAGCAAACTCAGCAACTTGTAAATGGAGCACTGAGCCTCATTACAGTCGGCGGGAATGATTTCGTTAACAACTACTACTTGGTGCCTTTCTCAGCAAGGTCACGCCAATTCCGGCTCCCTGATTACGTGAGGTATCTCATCTCCGAGTACAGGAAGATTCTAATGGTAACTTTCTTCTACATTACTTCACATGTTTCCGTGTCCAGTATGCAAATTTGTGCATCATCTCCGAGTACAGGAGACCTAGCCGCCACAACAATGTCATACAGGGCCATTGACATTAATTTACGTATTAAATATTAGAACACTTTTACAAGATTTCACAGCAATTAATTTTATTATACTGCATTTTTTAATTTGATATTAATTTATCTCAAAATGTTGTTTAGCGACTGTATGATCTGGGAGTACGTCGGGTTCTCGTAACCGGGACAGGTCCAATGGGTTGTGTGCCAGCAGAATTGGCGCAGAGAAGCACGAATGGGCAGTGCGCGGTCGAGCTACAGCGAGCAGCTTCCTTGTACAACCCTCAACTCACTCAAATGCTTGGACAACTCAACAATCAATATGGCGCGGATATCTTTATTGCTGCTAACACAGGGCAAATGACAGCTAACTTTGTTGACAATCCTCAAGCATATGGTAAGCCGGTTCAAGTTAATTTTTTTTATTTTTTAAAAACCCAACAAATTTATTGGATGCTTGCCCTCACTAAGATAATTAGTATGTTTTGCTAGTAAAAAAAATATATTTAGTTCAATATATGAGCTGTAGGCAAGGTCAATTTAACACCAAGTCAAGCTGTCTATACAAAACATAATATTTATCATCATTTTATCATTTAATATAAATATATGTAATTCAAATATATATATATATATATATATATATTAATTATTTTATTTTTTTATTAATTAATAAATAATAGTAGATAATAAATACTCACTAAATACCCAAAACGCTAAATAATTTATAAATATCTAAAAAAATTTACTAAATAAATAATAAATAAGATATAAATATATAAAAAAAAGTTTAAATAGCAATAATCATCAATGTGGGGGTACGTTGTTAAAGCTTAATTAGATCGTGCCAAAAAAAAAAAAAATCTAATCTGCGTTGACGTGCAAGCTTGACCCAAAGAAAAGAAAGATATATAAAAGAATGGAACACAAATTGTTAATAATGAAAAGAACACCTCATTAAATGTCACCGGGCACCTCTGCGTTTATGAATTAACTTCTCAGATGCACAATAAGCACACAAAAAGCCCAAAATAAAATCAAAAAGTTTTCTCTAACGCAAGTATTGTTGCTGCTATGCAGGATTCGTGACATCAAAGATAGCATGTTGTGGTCAAGGACCATACAATGGTCTGGGGCTATGCACACTAGCTTCAAACTTGTGCCCTAACCGTGACCTCTATGCATTTTGGGACCCATTCCACCCAACGGAAAGGGCAAACAGTATTATTGCTCAGCAGATTCTCACCGGAGACGCTACCTATATGCACCCCATGAATCTGAGCACCATCCTGGCCTTGGACTCAAGGACCTAGAGAAGAGAACCAAGCACATCCTTTTCGAAACTTCGTTTCCGTCCTACCATATTATGTCATTATTAATTTATGTTGTTTCCAGTGGTTTCCAAGGGAAATGTATGGTGATATATTGTTTTAAGTGTCTTGAAATTGGGATTTTATCAGAATGATTAAATTAAGGTGGACATGTATGTTTTAGACCTTTCACAACATAATCTACTAATGATGTTTTCAAAAAAAATTAATATTTTTTTATTTTTAAATCATTTTGATGTGTTTACATTAAAAATAAATTTAAAATAAATAAATAAAATATTATTTTGATATATTTCTAAACAAAAAATATTTTAAAAAATAATTATTACCATAATATCAAACAAGCACTAACTACTAATAATTCTTGGTTTTATAAGTGCATAATACAAATACAATTAATCTATCTAAAATTCAAAAGGAAAAAAAATTAATGATAAATTACAATAAGCTATACTTCTATTACAAGAAAAGTGAGGTCCAAGTTAATTTAAAAATAAAAAAGAATTTATTAGATAAATAATAATAAATAAATAAATCAAAGTCACCCAATTCCTTTTGTTATATTTAATATAGTGAATGACATGTCATCTACCTAGATATACCTAGATAGGTGAGTGTCATCCACTATTACAGTTTACATTCACTTTTATTACAAGAAAAGTGAGGTCCAAGTTAATTTAAAAATAAAAAAGAATTTATTAGATAAATAATAATAAATAAATAAATCAAAGTCACCCAATTCCTTTTGTTATATTTAATATAGTGAATGACATGTCATCTACCTAGATATACCTAGATAGGTGAGTGTCATCCACTATTACAGTTTACATTCACTTTTATTACAAGAAAAGTGAGGTCCAAGTTAATTTAAAAATAAAAAAGAATTTATTAGATAAATAATAATAAATAAATAAATCAAAGTCACCCAATTCCTTTTGTTATATTTAATATAGTGAATGACATGTCATCTACCTAGATATACCTAGATAGGTGAGTGTCATCCACTATTACAGTTTACATTCACTTTTATTACAAGAAAAGTGAGGTCCAAGTTAATTTATGAATTTTAAAAATAAAAATTTCATTTTTTTTTCACTTTAAAACATTTTGGGAATCTTGATTTAATTTCAAAATCTAAAACACCTTCTACTCACTCTAAAAAGTAAAAATCAAATTAAAAAAAAAAAGATCTTAATCTACCTTTTCAACATAATTAAAGGACAACACTACATATTAAACTCTAACACCACCACTATTGATCTCTTTTATGGCTAAACAAATTATTTCTCTCTCTTCCCTCAACATTAGATTGAAATATAACAAAAAAGAAATTTAGGGATGAAATGTAAAAATTTAATAAAACAGGGATCCAATAATATTAAATTAATAACTTTTGGGGTCAAATTGAAGTTTCCTACATCATCAAACAATTATGGAAAAATGTCTTTTTGTTTGGTTAATTCTAGTCATTGTTCTTTTAATATTTTATTTTCACTAAAATCCAAAATTCTATATTGTAATAGTGATACTTAATGTAATGTTGGAATAACCTCTACGTACACATCGCATATGCAATAGCATATAAAGTTTAACAAATCCCAACATAAAAAATCATGCACCCAACACTTGAAATGATGACAAAACATTAAAAAAAAAAAGTTTGATTACTAAAGTGCAAATAGAAAGAAAAAACATTAGGGACAAAAAAGAAAAATATTAGCTATGAAAAGCTGGGTGAATAGGATAATATATTTGGCTGAATAGGATAATATATTTGGATGAACAATAAAAGCTGGGTGAATAGGATAATATATTTGGATGAGCAATAAAAAAAAAAACATTGTCTAAAAACCCATATTCTTTTAGTTTATAGAATCTATTTTTTATTTATTTATATAATAATAAAAATAAATATTCACAAAAAATTCAACAAATATAATTATGGAGGAGAAATGTTTTGTTAAATTATTTTTTTTCTTATTTGTGTATTTTTTTATTTTTATACCAAAATGATTTTTTTTTAATTAGTAGAATAGCTCATTGAATAAAAAACAACAACAACAATTAGAAACAATACCCCACAAACTATAATGATTTGAAATAAAATGGAACAAAACAAATATTTTTAAGCAAAGGCTAAATTTTCTTATTCTTATTTCTCTTTATATTTTGACAAAAAAAATATTTTTTTATGAGAAGTATTGTTTTTTTAATTAAAAACTTACTATCATAATGAAAGAAAGTTTTAATTAAAAATTAAATAATAATAATATATCAATAATTTTTATACACCTATAAAAAAATTATAAAAATATATATTTTATTCTCATTAAATATTAATGAGCTAATTATTTTAAAAGTTCTATATATATTAGGATAATACATAATATTTATAAAGCAATCAGTAATATGATCATGAAAAAACTCTAATATTCCTAAAAACAATAGTATTATTAAATAATCACTTAGATATCGTTGTAATAAATTGATTTAAAGATTTTTTTTGTTACCTATGTTTTTTTTAATAAATGGATACATAAAACAAAGTTAAGCATGCATAAACCTCGAAGGTGATACCCACACACTTCTTTCATTTTAGTTTCAACAAGTGAATGGCAATTTTATTTAGATCGAAGATGACAAAATGTATTCTGGTAGAGTTTTTAACAATTGGATTTAGCTAAAGTGAAGGTCTCGTTATTTTGAACTGAATATGTATATATAAAGACTTAAAACCTCCCCTAAAACCTTATAATTAATAAAAGCAAAAATTCAATCGCATAAAAAATTGTTTGGCGAGCCTTAACCTACATTATATGGAATTTTCAAAGGAAAATGCCACCTTTATTGATTTTTTTCTTTTTAATATGAGGACTAAAACATAAAAAAAAGAAATTAGCACTAAGCACGCTGAAAAGCTCAAAACTAAAGGATGAAAAATAAAAAACAAAAAACTTTAGGGCCAAAAAGTTTGTTATCTCTCTTCATGAACAATAAAAAAGAAAGAAAAAAAAGGTTGTGTTTTGTTTGAGTATTAGATTATTTATACTTTTTTGATGTTCTAAATAATAAAATTTAATTTAATTTTATAAAATTGAACATCAATTTAATATCTAAATATCTTTTAACATGGTGAAAATGCTATAAAATACAAATCAAAATAAATAATAAGCTCCAAACCTTGTTAATATAGCATTGAATGATGCAATTAAAAAGAATAAAGTTTAGTGACTATAATTGTAAAAAAAATTTAAGGACTAAACACATTACATGTAGCAATTCATAAAACACATTAATACCCTTCTCATATAGTTTATTTACTAGCCGAGCTCTCCTTCTTCAACTTTCAAAATCCAATAATCAATTATGAAAAAAATCGAAAAATGAATAAAACATTTAAGATTACTGTAATTAGAGGTTAGGGATTGGTGACATGTGTTTGAATATAATCGGCACATATATAATCGATAGAATATCATTTTTTTATATAAAACTAGCGTTATTCTAAAAAATAAATGTGGGAAAGATTATTTTATGAAAATACTTTATTCATGATTCTTCAACTCAGATAACCACACCATCTCCCCCACAAGGCAGCTCATGAGGCCACAAGGCAGCTCATGAGGCCATGTGAAGAGGAGATTTGTTGCCGTCACCATGGTTTTGACAAGCTCAACAAACCGAGTTGTCTTTAACCAAGTAATGCATCGACAACTATTCTGAACACAATTGTAAAAAATGTTTGTGGATATGATGATTTTTTTATTAAAAAAATAGAAAAATATTGTTGTTACTCTTAATAAAATAAATTTAAAAAATATATAAATCGATAAATAAAGAAAAAATACTAACTCTAATTCAATACTAACAAAAAATTAATCTTCCTAGTAAAAACTTAAGATATTGTTGTAAGTTCTTTTTTATTTTATAAATTTTTATATCTTTTATCTTAGAGATTAATTCTAGTTGCTAAGAAGAGCAAACAATTATTTTTATAAATATGTTATGTAAATAAAACTTATTCATATAAAGTATATAAAAAAATAAAAATAAAGTACAATAATCTCTTTAAAGTATTATAAAATTAGAAGAAAAAAAAACAATTAAAAAGATTACGAGTTTGTGAAATTTAGGTGTATTTAAGGGGGAAGAAATCATCAACATAAAAAATCACATTCTTGGAGTATATTTGGTCTATGCTATGTCTATTGTACTGTGTTATGAGATTAAACACATTAAATTATTTAAAAAGAAAATATTTTGTGTTGTGTTGTTAGTAAAATTATTTAAATTAACATTATCATTAAAGAATAGCTTATATATAACATATTCTTTATAAAACTAAATAAATCTATTAAGAAATGAATAATTTATTTAAAAACATTTAAATATCATAAAAAATGATATATAGGAAGATAAAGTTGGTTTTCTATTTTTTTTGTCTTTTTATTCACACGGGAGAGCTAGCGAGCTACCTTACCCCTTCACTTTTTATAGCTAATTAATTCTACCAACCAATAAAAAGGTTTAGGTTTTTATTTTCAATTTATATACAGTAACTTTTATAAGGTATTTTAGATATTGACTGACTGTTTAATATCATCATAACAAAACATGAATCATGTACCCAAAATCATATCCTCAAATGGAATAATTAGTATAGGATAAAAAAAGATAAATATAAAAAAAATTAAAAAAAAATAATTAGTATAGGATAAAAAAAGATAAAAAAAAAAACATATTTATTCAAGAAATAGAAAGATAACGATATAAAATAAATATATTTTTGAGACACTTTCTTAAATAATTTTTTATATTTTTTAAGTAATTGTATTTGTTTTATCCCACGACAATAACTAAAAAGATACTTAAAATAACCACGTGTGACGATGAAATGATGTCTCTAGACCATGTTCCTCGGAAAAAATACATGGCATAATGAAAGACCAGAGAAGATGAAACTAGATATGCCAGCACTTAACTCTCAGCATGGGATTCAATTTGAAAGTGTTAAAGAGTAGTTGCAACACACAACTACCTATCCAAGCTTGCATGAGTATTTTAATTGCAAGGGAGTATAGGCACAAGCTATAAAAACCTGTGTTCACCATTGTTTCAAACACACAGCAGAGCTCTTTGGCACGAGGAAAGACCTGAAACTCTAGCTTCGTTGTCCTAGAATGGCAACTCCATCCATTGTTGGGGTGATTTTAAGTCTTGTATTGGCACTGAAATATGTTGCTCTACAAGCTGAGGCTCGAGCCTTCTTCGTGTTTGGTGATTCACTTGTCGATAGTGGCAACAACAACTATCTTGTAACAACTGCCCGTGCAGACTCGCCTCCTTATGGAATAGATTATCCAACTCATCGTCCCACTGGCCGTTTCTCGAATGGCCTCAACATCCCTGATCTTATCAGTTAGGTTATTGTAGTGTGACTTAACCTGTAATGCAATTTTCTTTCCAATCTCACAGTGCTATGCGTTGTCCTCAGGTAAGCGAATTGGATCCGAATCTGTGTTGCCATACCTGAGTCCTGCACTAAGAGGCCAGAGGTTACTTAATGGTGCCAATTTTGCCTCAGCAGGAATTGGAATCCTCAACGATACCGGAGTTCAATTTGTGAGTTAATCTGATGATCACAATGCTAGTTATTGATACTTTCTGTTAGAATGTGGAACTTGCTTTCCCAGAAATAACCTGAAATGCTAACTCGGGAGCTAAAGATGATACTGGGGAGCAATGATTGTTTTGCCTGCAGTAGATGCTTCTGACTTTATACTTGCTGTCAACTTATTAAAACACTGAGATTTTGCAGATAAACATAATCAGAATGTATAGACAACTTGAATACTTCCAAGAATACCAGCGACGAGCTCGAGCACTTGTAGGAGTTGATCAGACTAAGAGACTTGTAAAAGGAGCCCTCGTCCTGATTACTGTTGGTGGCAATGATTTCGTGAACAACTACTACTTGATACCCTATTCTGCAAGGTCTCGCCAATTTTCTGTACCGAATTATGTGAAGTATCTCATTTCAGAGTACGAAAAATTACTAATGGTAAGTCCCTACATTAGAAATTTTTAAAAAAGCTTCAAGCAATCCTAAAATGGAAAACCAAACATGATATATCAATCTTGTCTCCATGGTCACTGCAGAAGCTATATAAACTGGGAGCACGTAGAGTTCTCGTGACAGGGACCGGGCCAATGGGTTGTGTTCCAGCAGAGTTAGCTATGAGGGGCACAAATGGGGGTTGTTCAGCCGAACTTCAACGAGCCGCGTCCTTGTACAATCCACAACTTGTTCAGATGCTAAAAGGACTAAACAAAAAGATTGGAAAAACTGTTTTTGTTGCCGCAAACACACAACAGTCACACTTGGATTTCATTAGTAATCCTCGTGCATATGGTATGCTAACTTCTATTGTCAAAAAAGATGGTTTCTTCGCTATGCGATCTAATCCGTAGCAATATAAGCATATAGATGGTACCTGATAGGGACCAGAGATTTTCTTTTTAACATTTGAGATTTTGACTTGCAGGATTTACCACAACAAAGAGAGCATGTTGTGGACAAGGACCATACAATGGTCTAGGACTCTGCACAGCAGCATCCAACTTGTGCCCGAATCGAGACCTCTATGCATTCTGGGATGCATTCCATCCATCTGAAAAGGCAAACCGATTGATCGTGGAACAGATATACTCTGGCACTACCAAGTACATGGACCCCATGAATCTCAGCACAATCATGACCTTGGATGCTAGGGCATGATCTCATCCTCTGCATGGCTTTCTTTTTTAAATAATGTAACTATTTATGTGTTTCATTCCTAGCTCTTTTGCAAGTGATGTCAAAAGGAATTTCATTAGCCTGCGAAACAGTAAATGTGACCTCTTAATAATACCTCTGTTCTTATTTATAAAAAGGTAGAGCAGTTGCAGAAGAGAGTCCCATAAGACTAAATGTAAACTGTGTCTTAAACAAGGACTGGCTTGATTTGTGGGGAAGCTTACTTTTAAGGTCCATGAAAAACATAGCAACTCAAACATCAAGTCCTCCAAAGCCATGGACAAATAGAGCAAGAATGAGCATGCTGTCTAGCTAGTTAAAATGATTTGAAATCAATTTCAGAAACATTTAGGTGTTCTTGTCGTTGACCAGCAATGAATCTAGTCTTGTCTATACCTCTATAAATTTGTTGGATCTGTCATCTGCATCACAGAGGAGTCTTGTGATCATAAACAGGTTGACAGCTTGTCCGGAAAAAAGCTACATCAACTAAACAAGACCACAAGTAAGCAAATTGGCAAGTTGTTCTGTAGAACAACATCAACTAAAGCAGCCAGTATTATTGCAAGTCATGGCCTTGTCCCAACAGGGAGCTTTTCTACAAGAATAGGTGGTTGCATGGCTCTGGTGCCAAATCTTCTACATGAGTCATAATTTCGTTAGTTTGAAAAGAACCATTATTCGTAATTTGGATCTTAATAACATTAAAAATAGTTATCTCTGTCCAGGAATGAAATTGTCTCACCCCATTTCTCGATTACTCATGCATCACCTATCGCAAGCCTTTTCTGATCTCAGTTCATGCAACACACGATACTGGGCAAAGAGGATTTTCATCACATGATAATTTGATTGAGAGTACTTGTGTTGTCAGCTTGTCCAATCTCATATATTTCTTGTGAGTATTGAACTTGACAACTAGAAAGAAAAAAGGCAACTTTTTTTCTGTGAAGTGGAAGTTGAAGACAGGGTGTAACTTCCATTCAAAAGCACTGTCGATAAATTAAGAGCCCGAAAAAATTAGCTCGCAAGCTATTGAATTTAGGCTCTAATTATGTGGGCTCAGTGGTTTTCTGAACTGTTTTTTTACAGCTAAGCCACTTCGGAGCTTCCAAAGGTTCCAGAGACCAACCAAAACATCATCAAACCATTATTATATTGGTGATTTGCAGTTAGATCTTTGGAGATAGATATAGAAGAGTGCATCATGAGCCACATTTTAATTTTTTGAGGGCCACGACTCCCACTCTCGGCCACTGAAAAGGTGGAATTCCTCGCATATACTCAAGGTTCATAAGCAATGTTAACTAATTGACTATGAAGTTAAGTAGAGGTATATTGTACTGGACGACTGATAAAATAATTCTGGATTACTAGGTCACCTACTAAATTCAACCAACCAGGCATGTTTAACAACTATGATTCAGACGAATCTTATTAGGGGAAATTCTACTGGTTTCAAAGAAGTAAGAAAAGGAAGTTCATTTCACAGGAATATCCATCAATCTTGATGTTGATTTGGATTGACAGTATTTGAAGTTTCGGAGGGCCATGCCACAGAAATAGGTTCAACTTCCCAGTTACTGAAGCGTTTAACTACTGAAAAGCGTCTGAAATCTTGGGTAACATAACTCTAGGAGATAGATCATGTAACTTCTAGGTTACTGTACTTTTTTCTCTTTTCTTTTTTGCGCAATGAGGCCTGGATTGTGCGGTGGAAGTTAAGGGTAGATCAGGCGCTCCTTACTTTTAACTACTACCAATTTATGCATGTCATGTGGTATCATAATTATGGCTTCTCCTTTTACGAAAAGCTAAAATGTTATTTTAAAGATCTAAATTGATAAAATAATATTTTAAATAATATAAATATAATTTTGTTTTACTATGTATATAGTATAATGAAAAAAAAGCTATTTGAAAAGTTAATTGTGTTAAAATAGAATAAATAAATATTTTATTTTTTTAATAATTTTGATGTTATTTTTTTCATGTGATTATATTTAATTAGTTTATTTTTTTTACCTTCACTTTATTGGTTTTGGTTTTTTTTAAATATAAAAATAACATTTATAGAAAAAAAAATAGACATTTTGATATTTTGTTTAGGGTTTCTTTAAAGCATGAAAAACAAATCAAGAAAAAACTAAAATATTACTTTTTTATTATTATTTTTAATGCTCCATTTAGCAACTGCATTGAAAGGATGCCTAGTGGGTTGATTCCAGCTTTGAGTTCTGCAGCTTTATTTGTATTGGCCCTCAAGCTTTTACAAGTCAAAACCTCAGAATTCAAAGCCATGGTCATTGTCTCACCAAAACAAGAAAACTAGGTTTTGAAGACAAAGAAAACCTGGAATTTGAAACTTAATTTTATTTTGGATTAATGGATGATGTTTAAAGAGAATTGTTGTAAGATCAATAACCATGGCAATGTATGCCATCCAACGAATCTTGATCTTGGTGATGTGTAATTGAAAGATATTAAACTCATAAGTTTTATTTCAACATGCCAAAAAACAAAAAACAAAAAAAACTATTGTTAGCTTTAGAAGTTTAGGTAAATGTAAAAAATCATCTCGACATCAAAAAATTATTTTGTATTATTAATTAATTTTATTAAAAAATTTAAAATGTTTAGATTTAAACTCGTTATTATTTTATATTAAGATCTGATAATAAATTAAAAAATTATTCTAATCTAAAATTTTTTAAGTGATTGAGATCTGAAGATTTACAATATTCTTTACTGTAATCCGTTTTATCCGGAAGAAATTCCAATGCCTGTAATCATTTCTATGATAGTGTGGTTGGTTGAGTGAAAAGAACCTGTATCATAAAGCTAAACCACACTATACAGCACATGCATTATTAAATATTAAGGCATAAACCAGGGGATTTGAATCCAGCTAGATGTATAAAGGCCTAACAGTTTTTGTGGCAAGGTTTTAATTCATAGCTCGTACAACGTGCTAGCATCCACAACTACCACTGCTAATTTGAGTTTAGATTTGCTGGTTGTTTACATCCATGGCGGTAGAGCCAGAAGTTGTATATATATACACGTCCATCCTCTATCTTTCATCCACAGGTAATTTTTCAGTAGAAGTATTCTCTTCTGGAATTCTTTGACCATTTCAATGGCTGCGAAATCATCTGCTTGCAGTTCTTATTGGGTGGTCTTAGGACTGGCAGTGGTGCTGGCAGCCATTGTTCACCGAGCTGACGCAAGGGCTTTCTTTGTGTTCGGTGATTCACTAGTCGACAGTGGCAACAACAACTACCTGGCAACAACTGCTCGAGCCGATTCACCCCCTTATGGAATCGATTATCCAACGCGTCAAGCAACAGGCCGATTCTCGAATGGCCTCAACATTCCTGATATTATCAGTTAAGTTTCCTGTACATGTTGTATGTTTCTTTGTTACCTAGCTAGCTCATGCATCTATACAAATGTCCAAGATCACAACTGCTCGCACGCACTCTAACATGTTCTCAGGATATAATATCTTTGTCTCATCAAGAGTTGCAAAATGCATTTGTCAGGTGAGCAAATGGGCTCAGAATCCCCATTGCCTTACCTGAGTCCCGAGCTAAGAGGACAAAGACTGCTTGTTGGTGCCAACTTTGCTTCGGCCGGAATCGGAATCCTTAATGACACTGGAGTTCAGTTTGTAAGTAACCTGTCTGTCTAGTTTCTCAGTGACTAACTCATTCTAAGCAATTTCTTGCTTTCAGTAACAGCTGATCTTATGTGGCCTAAAATGCAAAAATTTCAGATAAACATAATAAGAATGCATAGACAATTGGAGTATTTCCAACAATACCAGCAACGAGTCGGTGCACTCATCGGAGCAGAGCAGGCCAAGCGACTAGTCAATCAAGCACTTGTCCTGATTACCGTTGGCGGGAATGATTTTGTCAACAACTATTACTTGGTTCCATCTTCTGCAAGGTCTCGCCAATACGATTTACCAGATTATGTTAAGTATCTCATTTCTGAGTACCGAGAACTATTGATGGTAAGCCTCTTGTATGCTCAACTCAAGCACAAACCTGCTTAAGATTTTATAAATAACAGATTGCTATAACATGAGTTTTCGCCGATACCTCCCCATTTTTCATCACTGCAGAAGCTGTATAATCTTGGGGCACGCCGAGTTCTGGTGACCGGAACTGGACCTCTGGGCTGTGTTCCAGCAGAGTTGGCAACGAGGAGCACAAATGGTGGTTGCTCAGAAGAACTACAGCGAGCGGCTGCCCTGTATAATCCACAACTTGAGAGCATGATAAAGGATGTCAACAGAAAAATCGGCAGCAATGTCTTTATCGCTGCAAATACTCACCAAATGCACACTGATTTTGTCAGCAATCCTCAAGCATATGGTACGCAATAGCTTCGTTATTAAGGATCATAAATGCTTGTCGTGATTTATCATGAAAAGCCCTTGTTTTGGTTAATTTGGCAGGATTTACTACATCAAAGACAGCATGTTGTGGACAAGGACCTTACAATGGCATAGGACTGTGTACAACATTGTCAAACTTGTGCCCTAACCGCGACCTCTATGCATTTTGGGATCCATTCCATCCATCAGAGAAGGCAAGCAGAATTATCGTACAACAGATCATGACAGGCTCCACCCAATACATGAAACCTATGAACCTCAGCACCATCATGGCCTTGGATTCTAGGTCCTGACGATAATTTTGTCAAGAATCTACCTTCTTAATCGCCATAACTTAATTCAACCCAGTTCCATTTATGTTCTTCAGTTTTTTTTGTTGCATTTGTGTTTGCTATCATGGGATTTTATACCTATGAGGCTTGAATTAAATTATGTCTGTAATGTAAGTTGCAATTACAGCTAAACAGCTTCATGAATAATTGAAATTTTCTATGCATTCTCGCACATCCATTGTGTTTGTGTTCATCTCTCCGTGCATATTCTTTTTTAAAGTTTCCTCGTGCCGATTTTAGTACGCCTCGAGACTAAATTTCCTTCCGAGCAATCTTAGGCTGGCTGTACATAGGGCAACACCCTGGCACTCAGTACAGTTGAAAAAAGTCAGTGTTTATATATAAAAAGTAAAATAAGAAATATATACATTAATAAAAAAAAAAAAAAAGTTATTAATGCTGCTAAAGTTAATTTTTAATATAATAAAAAAAAAATATTACAAATATTTTTATTTTTTATATCAGTACGTTAAAACAATTTAAAATAAAAAAAAATATAATTTAAAATAAAAAAATTTCCACCTGCTCGATCAGCAAACACAAGAATATAGGAGTTTGTACTGCTTAATCAAGTTCATTATAACAGAGGCATGCAACTGCTATCGACTAGCAGCTGATTCGCAACTGCTAGGGTTGATTCACCCCCTTGTGGAATCGATTTTCCAACACATTGGACCACTGGCCGATTCTCTAATGGCATTAAAACAGGTTTTGAGGTTCCAAACTCAAATCCCAACTTTTTTTAAACATTTCTAGTAGTCATAATCTTTATAATAGATGATATGTTATTTATATATTTATTTAAAAATAAAGGGTGGTTTATCATCTTTTTTATTAAAAAAAATAAAATCAGGAGTGCAGGCCTAGTTTTACAAGCCCTTGCTGACCTAATTTAGGAGTGCAGGCCTAGTTTTACAAGCCCTTACTGACCTCATTTTTATATATATATATATATATATATCAGGTCAAACACATGAGTTTACCCTTTTACACTCTCTGGTGTCTAACCTCTTTTTATACAAAATTTTAGTTTTTAATTAAAATTAATTCTAAATAAAATAAATAATTTTATATTTAAAATATGATTTTATTAAATACCATTCAATTTTAGATTTGTTTTGGAATAAGATAATGGCATTTTATTGAGATATTAACAATTACTTTGTTAATTACTATATATAAATCTGTAAAACAAAACATCTACATTTGTGATTATGACTATTCAATTAAAATAAAATTTATCCTTTTATTTTTTATTATAAATTTGTTGCAAGATTTCCTCTAATTAATTTTTTTTCTTCAAATACATACAAAATATGAAGACATGATTTTTAAACTTTTGAAGCTCACTTTTCATACTGTGATAAGTTTTTTTATTTAAAAAACAATGATTCTGATAAAAAAATATTTCATTAAAAAAATTAAGAAATGAATTAATAAAAAAAATATAATTTAGATTGAAGAGAAATATTTTGTCCTGCTTGTTTTAAATTATTAAAAATTTTACAAAAACTTATTTTAATTGTTTTTACTTTTAATTCAAAAAACATGCTACCAATAAAAAAAATATTTTGGTGTGAAAATACATGCATAAGAAAATAATACTTCTTTTAATAAAATATTTTTAAAAAAATAAATTATAGCCTTTTATATAAAAATATATTTTTATTTAAAAAATAAAAATTGATTTCTAAAACTACCAATGACATCAAGCGGGTAAATAGCTAATACTCACATAATCAACTTGGAATATGTAAATCACCTTTAACTTTCTTTGCATCTAAATTCTCTTCACTCTTTATTCTACCCTTTCAAATGATACATTAGAAATGTTTGGTAAGATATGAAAAAAATTTGAATAATGATGAACCTTAATATAAGTAAAATTAATTTTATATTAAATATGATTGCCAAAAAAAAAAGAAGAAGAAGAAGTTAAATTTAACACATGAAGAATAAATAATAGTAAAATAATTTTTTTCTTAAAAAAAAAGAGATGTAATTGTACGAAAACCATAAAAACTTATCCTTGAAAATTTCTTTACCTCTCTTTTATGTCAAGTTAACACTTAACCCTGGTTTGAGGTTAAATTTTAACCTTTTTTTAATTTAAATTTATTTTATTTTTAAGAACACAAACATATTTTTTAATTTTATTTTATTTTATTTTTAAGAACACAAACATGATTAGGGATATGTTGAGAAATTTTCAAGAAAAGTAACATTTAACCTGAAATGGTTAAATATGATCATGCAAGGGGAGAGTTAAATGAATTTTAAAAGGATAGGTTTTGTGTTTTGTATTTTCTCTCAATTTGTTTAAATCTAATGTCTATTTATTCTTTATTTTCTTACATTTCTCATTTTTTGGAGTACAATTATCATATTATATAAATTCTTAAATTTTATTTAATTTAAATGTAGATTTAATTTGTATTGGAACCCATTTTTATTTTAAATTTTAAATTTCTACTAAGCATCCTTAACATTTCATCACTCTTTTATTATCCCCGCTACTACCGCTACCATTTTTTTTTAATATTCTTTTCATTTTTTTTCCACCATTATTCCACATTTAATATTTTAAAAAAGATATATTATCTTTATTAGCACTATTACCTTCACCACCACTTCATTATTTATTTTTTATGACTATCACTATTGATAAAATCATTATTCCTTTCCATCTTTAATATGAAGCACTGGAAATTTAAATTTTATTTTTAGTCCTTATATAGTATTGGAATTAAAATGTCATTTTAATTTCTCAACTATCAATTTGATTTTGAATATTACATTCTCAACAATAATAAGAATAATAATAAAAACACTTTAACACCTTCACTATTAAACACTTGATCTCTTAATATTCAATCTTTCATTTTTAACCTTGAACAAAAAACAACCAAAAATTAAGTTTAAAAGAAACTTGAGTTTCTAGGTCATTCTCTTCTTCTTTTATTTTTTATTTTTTCATCCACTTATATTTTAAACCACAAATATGCATTATTCATATTTTTAGAATTACATTTAATCTAAAACCTTATTTAACAATTATTAGGAGCCATTGTTATCTATAATATTTCCAACTTGTACCAAATATTTTAAACACTTTATCTTTATAAATCTTACTTAATATTTTTTCTTCAGAATTTTTACTTCATACAAATGTCGTTATATGCAATGTGAGAAGGACTCTAAAATGCCATTGAGAGATTTTTGAAAAAAAATTAGATTCACCTTTTTAAAAAGACTAAAAATTCCAGGGTATATATCAATTCTAGAAATTCAAGTAAAGTATTGGTTAAAAAACGATAAAAATCATCATTATCACATCTTTTCAAAGGAAAGGTCATGTTAGCTATGAGTTTTTCTAAATTCATTTCATGTATGTCATTAAATATCTTATTATTTTATGAACTTATTCACAAGTTATTTATTATTGATGGATGATCATTGATTCAACATCATGCCATAGATCAAAAGTCCCATAACTTAATGAATTCTTGTAAATAAGATGAAACTATTATTGTATTAAACCTACATTAGTCCCTAGTTTAAGGAAAACATATCATCTCATTATTAAATTTGTCTTAAGATTGAAATTATCATACTACACCTATTTCAATCTATAAAAACTAGAAGATATCATACTACACCTATTTCAATCTATAAAAGCTAGAAGATATATTGACTTAACTAGTAAAACTCAAGTTTTATCAAAACATGACACTAATTTAAGAAAAACTCATCAACTCATTATTGCACTTGTTTTAAGGTTTAAAACATTTATATTAGGTCTATGTCAATTTCTAAAAACTAGAAAACATGTTGATCTAATTGTTAAAATCAATGCTTAATAAAAATATGGCGCTAACTTTACAAAAACTCGTCTACATTATTTTTATACTTTTTAAATAAGTATTTACATATATAATCATACCTAAAATATGAAAATGCAATTTTACAAAATGAAATTAATGTGAACACAAAGCTGATAAAAATAAAATTAAAATATATGAATTAATATGACTATGTATGAATAGTGATATGTATATTATTTTGCATTTTAAGTAACAATCTTCTTTTGAAAATGAATTTTTATATGCATATGCATATGTGAAAAGGCAAAAGGAATGTTTTACAAAACAAAGCTCATGGGATGTGAAGTTGATAAAAATAAAATAAAATGCATGAATAAGTAGTGTCAATGCATTAATAGTAACATGTGCATTGTTTTCATTTTTGAGCGGGAAACTTGTGCAACCTATGTAACATGTGCATTGTTTTCATTTTTGAGCAGGAAACTTGTGCAACCTATAGGAAGAAGAAGAAAAGAAAGAAAATGGATTAAATTTGCCTTAAGAGAAGAAGAAAAGAAAGAAAATGGATTAAACTTGCCTTAAGGATGGTTACATGCAAGGAATGGCTACTATAATTGTTAGTGGTGGATGAGAGGGTGGTGGTGTTCATGCTCCAAGACTTTTAAAAAAGCTTGACTAGGTGGCTTACTTTAGTCTCATTTTACATTAGTTTCAGGGGTCTTTTTGATATAGCGTGAGGTATGGTGAGAGAAAAGAAGTCAGGTAAAGGTGTGTGGAAATTAAATTATTTTTAATTTTTAATTTACTTTATCACCTCTCATCGGATAAAGTGCAATGCTTTAAAGGTGATAAATAATGGTTTCTATAGAAAAAAAGTTGAAAAGCATGCACTAAAACAACATCATTTTGCTGCATTTTATTTATTTTCCAAAACAATATTGTTTCTTTCACTTGTCAATTAGAATTTTTCTACTTAAAATAAGGAGTTTTAGTTATTTAAATTGATCATCTGAGTTCAGTATCTTTTCTAATTTAGTCCTTGAATTTTTTTATTTTCTTGACCAATTGCTCTTATTTCTCTATTTAAATTTGGTCTCTAATTACATATTTTCACATCTCTCTTATTCCTCTACTTCTTTCAGTTGAGTCCTTGAATTTTTATTTTGTTCTTTTTGGCCAATCACGCCTCTTTTCTTATTATGTCTTTCAATCTCACCCTTATTTGCACATTTTTTATTATTTCTTTATTCTACTTGCTTTCCTAATAAAATATTCAAAAACTATGAAAAATAATTAAAATTTGAGAAAATTATAGAAATTAGAGTTAAAGAAGGATTTTTTTTCAAGAAAAGTTTTTTAAGGGGGAATT